ATTGTGCAGTTAGCTAGAATAGCAGATTTGCTGATCATTTACACGACTGCCACAAGAAGGCTTTCCCATTATCAAACACCAGATGTTTTTTTAAGCAACGACAGTATTGTCACTAAAATCTGAAAAATATAAACCAAATAAATAAGATAAAAATTACCCATTTAAGTTAAACTTAATCAAATAAAGAGAACAACTGAATCGATCCGAACAAGTAAAATTGTTGTAATTATGAAAATTTTCTTTCAAAGAAACTTGTAATATGTAAATTACACATATGTAAGAATGGCGTAAAAAATGTAAATTCGGAAAAATTGAATTCGTTCGCGTGTTGACGTCCATACAAGAAATATGTTTTCCTCACAACTTAGAATATGGAGTTTATAGAAAAAACGGTTATGAAACAATTTTCATTAAAAAAATATGTATGATAAGCATTTTTTCAATCAAAACGTTTTCATTCGAAAGTTATTTTAACTTGATTTTAACCCAAACAATACACTTTAGTGGCAGTTTTTCGTTGTTGCAAAAAGTTATCATATAATTGAATATATGAAAATTGTAGGATATGCATTTTTTACTTTAAAAAAAACAATTCTGTGGTAAAAAAAAATCCATGATGTTTTCGATTGCATACTCGCTTCTGAGCTCAAATAAACATTCTATGAAAAAAACTTTGCACATAAAATTTGATGTTTTGTGTCTATAATGTAGTCCACGTTGCTTTTTTACCCAAAAACCACAAGCAAGTGTTTTCAATAAAAAACACAGTTAATAATTTTCTTTTTTTCTTATGCAAAGATATACCAAAGTTTGTAGAAAAAAGCAGGCCTCTCATTACGAGGACAAATTTTGCACTGGATAGGCGCACAATTTTGTGTCTGTTTGTTTCTGGATTCCAGGGACAAGTCTTCAAAGATAAGAAAATTTTGTTGGAGCGATCAAAAAAAATGAAAGAACAAAAGAGGAACACATTGCAGAATCCGCGTACATTTATCAAAAAGCGCAGTTTGGCCTCGTAATGTTTTTTTTTTAAAATTAGCCATTCACAAAAATTTATTTTTAAGCATATACTTTTATAGAAAAAAATAACATTAACTTACATGGCTAATATCACCAAATGCAGTTTATCTGCGTGTTAACTGCCACTTACCCTCTGGGTTTTCTTATGATAGAAACCTTTTGTTATTGTGTTTTTGGATAAAACCCAAAACTTCAAAACAGTTTTTTGTTGCGTTTTCCTTCATGGAACAAATGCCTACGCTAAAATTTCATACAGAATGAAAAAAAAAAGGATTATCGTTCAATTTCATAGCATAAAAAAAATTGTTTTTGCTGTTTTCAAAGATTTTTTGTAATAAAAAGCATGGCAAATAACTTGTTATTTTCAATTTTTTTTGGTCTATGAAATTGTATGACATTGTATGGCAAGCAATTTTTTTCATAAAATGCTTGTCATATGAGATCAGTATGAAATTTCAAGATTAGCATTTTTGTCAACCCGGCTTGCGAAGAAACAACTTTGTTTTGGCATCTTTGACGCGATTACAATTGAGCAGTCTCTAGCTCTACATAAGCTTATTTTATGATAGCCAAGCTCATTTTAAAAGCCTTGTACATTTAAACTTGATCGATATTATTACGTTATAAACACTTAGCATTTCTTAACATTTTCGTTTCTCGGAATCTGTGTTTTCGAACATCGTTAAAATTGTATGAACACCAAGACACTCGAATGGTATAGTTTATTTGGGTAGTTTATGTTAAATATGCATGATCAAATTTCAGAAACAATTTTAACGACCTGTAAAGATATTTCTTAGTTAGAAAGTTTTATTGTAGAACACATTTGTGGCGCATTCAATTTAAAATGGCTGTTATAAGGGGCATATTTTATCTTGTCTGAAGTAAGCTTTTCAAAGTGTAGACCTCAAAACAGCGCCGGGTTCAATATTAATCTGTACCCGTTCTTTTGTTTTTTTGTGAATAAAATGTGAATCTTAATTGAAAAATGAAGCTTTTCGTGAACAAAAGTGCTTAAGTAGACGATACGCATGACACAATTTGATAGCGTTCGATTGAATTTGAATTGGAAAACTGGGCGCCGAGATATCCTATGGATTTCTTTTTCTTATAACTGGAATGAAAATGACTGGAGTTAATATGGCTGGATAATTCAAAATATACTTACCACCGTTATTAAATGTTCTCATAGTTTTTTTCTCTAATATAACTGATAGTAATATATCTATATATACCTGTAATATTTTAACAAGACTGCTCGTATCAATGCGCAACCTTGAATGTTCCGACAGCTTTTTGATTTCTATGGAGTTTTTTGAATTAAAATAATAGATGAAATTTTTTGAAAATGAAAAAATTCAAAGAAATTTCAAAAATTTTTTGATTCTTTTAAAAACTTTTTCCCCAAACGCCATGTAAAGTACAAAAGGATATATTTTGCATTTAGCAGAGCTTTGAATAGACCAAAGAGCATGCTTCAATCGAATTTGGATCAGATTCTAGGACGTAATAAATCTCCGCTTACTCGTTAATAGAGCAAAATGTATCGCGTATTAATTGTCCCAAATTGGCCAAATTGGTAATCTTTAACCCCCCCATAACTTCACGAAAAAAGTTGCCGAGTAAAAATTATACTTGTTTCATCTGGAGCTTGAGACAACAATACCTTTCGAATGATATAAAAAATTCCGTCAAAAGTTGCTAATTAAAAAGTCAAATTTTGTTTGGAGAAATAAAACTCTCCGAGCACAAATTTTCCGTCAGTTTCTTTGAAAAAAAATCAGATCAAAAACGAAGTAACCAACTTCAGACGTAGCCATTAACACTGGAGAGAACTTACTAGACATAACTCTTCCTCATCTGTCACTGAATATACTAATGCTGAAATCTTCAGTGAACAATTTATAACTTTCGGGTCTCTTTAACTATTGAACAATGGTTCCGAATATTTTCAAAGAAAATAACAAAAAACATTTGTGCTCGGGTGGTTTTTTTCCTGACTAATTGCGACTTTTTAGCTAGCTCAATTTGACGGAATTTTTTTTATATCATTCAAAAATTATTGTTGCCTTGAGCTCAAATTTGAAAAGATATTTCGGATCAACCGTACAATCTCCCCCAAGCCACATATTAGTTTTGAAAACTGATTTTGTATAAAATATTCTTTTCAAGCAAAAGCGCAGAATAGACAGCTTGAAAAAAACTTTTCAAAAGGAATACTTATTTTATACTGTTAATTAACCAAATTTTTATTCATAGTTATTTTTGAATGAATTTTTTTGACTAATTAGGTCAATTTAATTTACCTCAAAGTTGATATATGAAAAATCAGTATTTCATCTCCCCTAAATTGATTAAGGGGAATTGTACAGCTGATCCGATGTTTCACCTAAGATAATGTTTTGTAAAGTAATGGGATTTTAAAATTTGCCAAAATTTTAAAAGAAAATAAGACTCCTCTATCAGAGCAAAACCATTTATGATCTTCTTGTCCACAAAAGCCGACAAACATTTAACCAATGATAAAATGAAAGAAAAAATTCGAAACCATTTGATTATTTTATAATTCGTTTTGTCCCCCACTAGCAATTGAGAAGATCAGTGATATATTTTGCGTCTGGTGAGATTTTAACAAGATTGCTCATATCAAAAACAAAGCCTGAGAATTTTTGTCCTAAATTTTTTGCCTAATAAACAGTTTTGACTGAAAATTGAAAATTGACAAATTGGCCATGTTTTGGACCAAAATATGTTCGCTTTCAAGAATTTATTCATATTTGCTGAGAATGTAACACGAATTATTTATGCGTGGCGAATTATTCCTAACAACAAAATCGTTACAAATTGAATTGAGGCTAGCTAATCGGATGGGTCGTATTAATTTTTACGGCCCAATATTTCACATTTCACTTTGATATTGTTCAAAATTTTTAGATTTTCAATACTTTCTTTTCCCAATAACTATTCGATATGAATTAAGGGATAGTCGGAACATTCAGGGCTTTGCTTTGATATAAAAGCATTCTTGTTGCTTATATCTGATAGGTTGAACGGAACAAGGGACTAATTATTTTTTTAGCTTACGCGTTAATAGAATTAAATTTATTGCGCGTTACTTAGTCTATATTAGCCAATTTGGCAATTTCCAAAACCCTTTTTTACAAAAAAGGTCCATGGTGAAGTATCTGAAAATATTAATTTTGAGCTCAGATCATCACTAACTTCCAATATTGAAAACTTCCGTCCAAAATGGCTAGTACGAAAGTCCAGTTTTTTCCGAAGAAATGAATCCTGAAACCCCCTCTCTTAATTTACTCCACTTACGTCCTCATTTCCTCCCACACTTCTCTATCTCCAGGGGGTGTTATTTCCTTGAGGGTTATAGTGAGGGTTGGCCAAAATATAGTCTTGCGAGTATGTTTAGAAATTGAGTGGGCAGGGATTAATGCGGAAAATATTGCAAACATCACGAATGATTTACAAAAAATTATACAGATTACAATCTATTATGGGTTTAAAAATGACAAAATCCATTAATTTTTTTTTGAAAAAAATGGGTTATAATGAATTCATCATTTATTTTAAAATCTAAAATTGTAACTGTAACCCATTATAATGGAACTATAACCGATTATGTTTTCATGAAACTCTAGAGGTCGGTGAGCACGAATATAACCTGTCACTTTCCTTGAAAATGAAAACAATTACGATACTGATTTTCAGAACAACGAATTTCAGATTCATTTCGCATTTTTTTGGTTAATTTTTGCATATAAATCTGCTACAAGCCATTTTTTTTGCAAACAACCCTCCATTTATCTGTTACATTACGCAGAGCGAATCGGCTCATGTGTTATGCAATCGCACAACACAGTTAAGTAATCAAGGTGCTGTGTTACAAAGTAACAGTTATGAAATACTGTTTGTGTGCAAGGTGTTGCTTACATTACAGTTATGTAATAATATTTTTTTTTCTGCAGAGGAGAACCACGGCACGTGGCTGGCGGAGAAGATCAAGTTGAACTCCTCCAAGTACGTGCGACCAGTGAAGAACCAGTCCTCGACTGTGGACGTGACCTTCAGACTGAACCTGTACCAGATATTGGGCGCAGACGCTGTCAACCAACACATACACTTGCACTTCTGGGCAGAAATGAAATGGTAAGAGATTCCACTTAGGTGTGATAGTTGGGTTCCTAGAATACGCCAGTATGATAGCTATGGGCCCTACCTTTGGTTAGGATAAACCTAGTGCTTCCATCATGCAAATTCTTACCAAGGTCATATTAAGGCTTCCAAGTAAGATTGACTCTATTTCACCAAGATCTTGCATAGGGATCCTGGATTTTGCATATGATCTTGGACGACTTTGCATGATAACTTTGCAAGGTCTTGCATGATGAAGGCATGGTTTTCCATGATTAGATTATTGGGAAGTTCAAAAGCACAAACTAACAAATTCAGAAACTGTTCCCAAAAATATTAATTCACGTAAGTTTCTTTTAAGAGATCCAACTGACGTACTTAACGAGTCAACCATAAGAGTTCATTAGATGGCAAAGATGTTTTTTGTGTTTTTTTTTCAAACTGCAATCTGTCAATAGTTAAAGTTTAGCTCTTGAATTAATTTTGAGATTTTGCTTTTGTGAAAAAATAGAAGTATGTTAAGCATGGAAGCACGCGCCGATTTACACGGCGAGCACCACAGCCCAAAAAGTAATATTTTACGAGAGCTCTTTTCCACCCCACATTTGAATTTCAGTTTCGATTTTTAGGTTTACTTAGTCAAAATTTAATGAAATTTTGCATGGTGAACAACTTAACTATGGTGAACATATTTTTTCTTCATACCCTACATCATAACATCAAATATTCAGCCTTAATTAAACGTAAGACAACTGAAAAAAAAGTGGGGGAGGGGAGTGGAAAAGAGTTTTTACGAGATCCATTTTGGATGTTCTCGACTTTGTTTAAGTTTCAAAAGACATGTATATATGTATATATAATTCTTTGAAGGTTGTTTTGATGTCTGACATCTGGTCTCTGAAAAATGGCTTTCGGAAAACTCAGAACTCAGAAAACATGTTTTCGTCCGTCTCGTGTTTTGAACAGATACTCATACTCTAAAGGATTCATTTCCATTAGCCTAACTGCAAAGTTACAAGGATGGCATGATTAATGAAGAAAAGTTGAGGGCATTTCATTAAAAGAGAGAGGGGGGAGACTTTGGAGTCTAACTTTTAGATCTGGACTGTTCAACTATGAAGTTAGATACGACTAGAAAAAAATAAAAGTTAATGAACCGTAGAAAAAGTGACGTTTAATTGATCACTGAATGAATGGCATTTTAATACCACGGCAGCAGTTGAAACTCTACGATATATATAAAAAAGGAATGGCAGATTTAGGAATTATGAGAAAGGTCAACATAAAAATTTATAGAGTTTTAAATACGTTCAATTTTGAATTCAAAAATCAGAAGCTGAAAAATCATTACTATTTAGTCGATTTTAGTGTGTGTATGAGTGTGAGGGGGGAGGGGGTAGGATATGTAATTTAACTATGCCCGACATTTTTTGTGGCCAAATGTTGAACTTTGACTTTTTGTCTTTGAAAACAGAAGTTTGTTTCTGCCTCTTCACAAACTAATTGTCCTTAAAAGACATCCCATCAATTTTAAGGCACTCTCTTTACTTCATGCTGAAAAAGTAATGCAATGAAAAAAAATACTGAAAAATTGGGATTCTTTCTCAGATTGCTTTCGATTTTACTCTCAGTTCAATCGAAAAAGAGTGTCGCGCCGGCGCCGAGGTATTGAAGCAAAGAAAGAAACGCGGATATGGACAGGAAACACTATAGTCATTTTGTCGGTTCATGGTTCTCTTTGGAGTCTTGTTGGAAATGAGAAATTGAGAACCTCTCCTTTTTCGTTTGTCCTGTAAACAAGAGAAGACTTGCTAAATATGGAAAAAAAATCAAATGAAATACATATACTCTAAACTCAAATCTATGCTAAGAAGACGACATGGAGGGAATGTTCTGGTGATAAAATGCCCCATGGTCCGAAAGTTTTCAAGGTTATTTAAGTTCAAACCCTGTTTTTTACAGTAGTTGTATTCAAAAATTTCTGATTGGCTAATATAATTTACGTGTAGTCAGTCTTTCTGCCATGAGGTGTTGCTTCTATGATTGAGATACTGCCACGAATCACGATAACGCGTCAAGTTACAAAATATGCGAGCAAAAATGTCTTTTCAAGTCTAAATAAATTTAGCATGTTTCAATTCAGATTTCAATTAACAGTCTTTTTTTTCGTTTCTAGAAACAAGATTTAAATTTGTCCCAACTTTGTTGCTCCAACTTTCGAAAAAAAAACGGAATATATATGCTCTGTGTGGATGTTTTGTTCAGGTAATTTTTGCCCAAGGAAATAACAGTTTTCAGCAAACATTTTTTATACCTCATTGAAGATATTGACTTCTTGAGTTCAAATGTTAAAAGATATTCTACCTCCGAATATTGTTTGTAAAGTATCGGGGGTTTGAAAATTGCCAAATTGGCATGTTCTGGACTAACTTATGCGCGTTTTGAAGAGTTAATTTGTAATTCTGAGAACGTAACGTGAATTATTTATGCGTGGCGAATTATCCCGCACAACAAAATTGTTCCAAATTGAATTGAGGCTAGCCAATTGGTCGTATGAATTCCGCAGGATTCAAAATTTTTCACTTTGATATTGTCCAAGTTTTATAGGTTTCCAATATTTTCTTTTCCCGAAAATTCGATATAAATTAGGGGACAGTCGGAACCTTCTGTTGCAAAATGGAAACAGATATTTTTTTGCTCGAGTTTTCGGATTTATTAAAACAATCTTCACCCCTTCCAGAAAGAGGGAGAGATTGTTAAGTAGATTAGGTTATCAAACTTTAGACCAATCAAATGGCAGAAAATTCAGAACTGGAAAGCTCTTGTGCTTATTTAATGCTTTGTATATAGGGGTGGACATTTTTACCATATGGGTGTAAATTGTTTAATAGATTTAGGTTTTTCCTATCTTTTGAAAATTAATCATAAGATGTGACCGACAGCATTCCATTAGAATTTCCGGAAAATAGACGGGTTGATAGGACAAGGAACCGTGTGCAATTAAACCCAAAAAGAACATGTTGAACCCACAAATCGAACATTATTTATCATTTTGCTGGTTTTTCATCGACAAAATACAAGCGCAGGCGAGGCCTTAGGTAGAAAAAAAAACGCTGACAACCTAAATCATAATAATTTTTTGTTTTTCTACACAGTTTTTTTCATTGTTTCAAACCTTTAGCAGTTTAAAGTGGTTAATCCAATATGCTTAAAGAACATTCAGTTTAAAAACTAGTTTGTTTTACTTTGAAAAAATTCATGTTCATTTTTTGGTTGATAGTTGAATTGAGCCTCCTTCCAATTCTTATCTTAAACAAGTTTTGAAAATTTCTGTGCTCCGGTAAGAGTAAGACTCAAAGAAAACTTGATCAAAAATAATGAAATGGATTCTAGTGTAAAAAGTTTTTTCTCTTCCATCAGATATATTTTATTGTTCTTGTAATTAAGTAGGAAAAACACTACTTGAAGCCTTAGTATCTACACATTTTAGTGTTCGGTACAATAACTTCCCAACATCTGATAGCTTTCTAGGATAAATTATGGTGAAGTTTTTTAACACTGAATTCATTTGAGGTTGTGCAAAAGTTTAGCGAAATTAGTTTTGAGTGATAATTTGCATTAAAAAGTTTATATTGTAAGAGACACGCAGTAGATAAGTTTTTATAGACTGATTTTTGGCGACATTTTTGCTGTCAACATAATTATTTTTAACCTCAAACTTATGTTGGGGCACGGCCAGTCGACAAAATTAGCTTCATTTATTCTGATATGTAAAACAAGAAAACATTGATTTTGAAAAATAACAAGACTGCTCGTATCAGGGCGAAGCCTTGAATGTTTCGACTGCCTTTTAAGGTCTATAGAGCGGAAAAAACATGAAAAAATTAAATGTAAAAAAAATTAAACTAATTTTTTTTAATTTGGGAGAAACCCACCCCGACACAAATATTCCGTTAATTTTTTTTACAAAGTCGGAACAACAACCCGATTTCAAGATACGTTGATTTTTGTCAATGCTTTAAAAAAATGAAACCAAACTTATAACTTATTGTTATTCATAGAAAAAAGCAGAAAATTTAAGGAAACTACTTTAAGGTAAGGTTTATATGTGCTGCTGTTGACGCCAAATAGAGTTTGAAGTTGGTTTCATGATGCTAACACATTATATTTTAAAAACAAAAATGGTGTTTTTAAGACGCCCGTTTTGGCCATAAGAGTTGGTTTCGGGTTCTCTAACAGCATTTAATTCTCAACCTTTAACGCTTGATTGCTATACATTGCCTACTATCACAGTTTCAATTATTTTCAAAAGTGACGTGAAAAATCTGTTTTAAATATTTATATAGTCTGACGCCCAAAAAATCGGTACTGCGTTCGGAATTACCTTGTCTCAGCCAGCATCTACGTACATAGATTAAATACAGCAAATTAAGTCTAGTATTTGTGGCATTCTAATATTCCAGACCAATTTGCATTGGAATAGTTCTGAATACTTTCTGAGCTGTTTTAATTCGCCGCATTCACTACGTGTTATTAGAAAAAAAAAGAAAATAAAGCATGTATTCGTTTAACTAAATTGGTGAAATTGGCATTTTTCAAAACTCCATGGTTTAAAAAAATGCTCGCCAATTGTATGTTTTTTATTTGCTTTAATGGCTTCAATATCTTTCAGTTGATAAAAAAAGTGGCTCAAAATTGAAAAAAAATCGAAATCTGTTTGGAGAGAAAACCCATGGCACTGAAAGTTTTGGCTGCTTCTTAATTTACTTGGTTTTTGTTCAGACTTTTGTATCGAAAGTAACGAAATATTTGTGCTCGGGTTGGGTTTCTTTTTCTTCAGGCAAATTTCGACTTTTTAACTAGCCCTTTTTGACGGAATGTTTTTATATCATTCGATAGGTGTTGTTGTCCTGAGCTCAATTTTGAAACAATATTTCACCTTCGATTGTTTTTCGTAAAATTATGGGGGTTTATAGATTGCTCATTTTATTACTGCTCCATAGACCTTAAAAGGG